CATTAATTGGTTGATGACCGAGGAGCATTGTCATCATTATGAAAAACTTCTTTTATATCATCTTCATTTATTACCACTTCTCCCAAATCCACTTCTTACAAAATCCTTTAATTCGAAAATTTCACCTTTGGCTTGCGATATCCGAAAACCTTCAGATTCGTGACTGCCATCCTAAAATTTAACTATCGTTCACTATACATATCTGGCTATGTATTACGAGATTGGCGACTAAAGACAAGTTTCTCTGCTAAATTTTATCTTGCTTCTATGACACTCTGAGACAATTAAGCCTGAATTGTATTAGTTTAGTTATTAATTATACATACTTATGTCTATTTTTTGCACATGCTTAAGGCTTATCTGAGTCCTAAACAAATAAATTACATATACTTAAGGCTTATTGAGGGCCGGTACTAGCTATCTTACCAGTTGATGCTGTGGGTCCTAAATTCTGCTACTAAGCGCCTTCCTTTATTTTCCCTAAATTCTGCTGCCCAGTGCGGTCATACAAGCCTTTGCGCTGGTTCTGGGTTTATGTGAATAACAAATCAGTTATTAATTCAAATAGCACTAAATGGAATTTTCTGACTTTTGAGTATCATTAAGAAAATCTATTTTTAGCATATGGAAAGAAGTTTTTGTTAAATTTTCCCTGGTCAACATTTTTTGTGCCATTTAACTTAAATGTGTAATTATCGCCAAGCATAATGCCAAAGTAAAAGACTGCCCTACTCTTTATTATTCAATTGCTAACATAGGCATCACTACATGAGTCATTATTCAAGTTGTCATGTGTTGATAAACATGCAGTGATGAAAGCAAAATATAATAAATGATTTGCCAGGTTGGCATCAGGGATATAAAATATGAGTAGGTGTAAAATCAACAATGTATCTATGTAGAATGCTTCATTTTAAGATGTACCCCAAGTAGATATGAATTGGAACCAAATTCTCGATCATACAAATTTATGCTAAAATGATTGTTACTTCAATAACAAGGCATTTTATTTAGTGCTGAAGTGAGATTAGGAATCGGGATTCTCCACATGTTTTATTATGCGTGGGGCAGGAAATCAAATGCGCATGCGTAAAGCATACATTATTATTATTTTTTTTAAGTTACGCGTGGCACTGAGGTCCAGCTTTTAGATTATTCCAGATATTGGATGTTCGGATCTCAGACTTTGTACTGTATTAATTGAAATTAACTTTTAATATTTTTAAAATTAAAGTTTATTTATATTTTTGGGAGATGTGACAACGGTGATCCCTTTTTTCTACGTTATTCATCAATTTTAATTCTATTTTGAGAGATGATCCGTATTTTTCTTATCAGATACGACAGCGAACAGATGATGTTTTTCATAATTCATAATTTTTTATGATAATCAAGAATTAAGATAATACTATTCAGATAGTACTTCAATAATCTGAATGACACGATCTTTCACAGTTAACTAAATTATAAAAATTACATAGCATTTATTACTTTATTTTGTGCAACATTTTGCTTTACTGTTTACCTCTGAAACTTGCGGATAAGAACAATTTCTATACAAATAAAGAAAATAAGAGGGGATGTTTGCAGAATAGTGTAATAACACAAATCTCATCAGTGGCTGACACATACCTCATTACTAGACATAAACAGAAAACAGAGAGCTAAATTCAGTAAACAGTAATAAAATTTTTTACAGCATTTAATCTAAATAAGAAAGGTGAAAAAACAATTTAAGTAAATTTTCTTGAGAAAGTACAAAGAACTATGCAATTATTGCTTGCAGTTTTGTTTTTCTTCTACATTTTATTTTCAAACTATAATATCATCATTAATCAAGTCAAACATTTGCAACACATCATCAAATTTTTCATCATTTATAAAATTACAAATAGTTGTGAATGCCCAACTTCCAGAATACCACCTTACATTACACTGTATTTTATTATTTATTTTTACATAGTTAAAACTATGATTTTTAAATACTTAAAAATAGTAAAATAGAAAAGTATTTTGCAAGGCAATATGAATGCTAAAAGTATAAATAAATTTCCAGACCATATATATTAAAAGCTTAGACTATTGATTATTATTTTTATATGAAATTTTGTAAATTGCATAACAGAAGTTAAAAACATAAGGATCCCAAAGAATTGTTAACTCACTACTTTGAAGGAATAGAACAGTTTTGCAGACTTGTTAAGAAATTTGATTCTACTCAAATAAAATATTTTCTAATTCATGAAAATTTCAAAAATGTTAAAAAACTTTAAACCTTTATACCACAAATCAGTTAGTTTTCATAAATAGTCTTAATAGATTCTTTTCTTTTATTTTTGAATTCTCCCTTTTAGTATATTAAATTTTAGTCATCATTTTAATCCACTTTTTTGGAGCAAAATTTTTTATTATTTTAAAAATTAAAATTTTTGCTGTTCTTAAAAAATGACATCTTCTGATAAACAACAAGAAAGAAAGAAAAAAGACAGGACACAATTGCAAAAGAAATTAATTTGAAAAATGTATCTATATTTTCCCACTTCTTTTTCTGAAAATTTTCCATTTTAAAGCATATTATCAATCATTAACCCTGCACTGCTCACGTGGCATATTCTTAAGTTAAGGGTTGTGCAGCACATATTTTTGCTGTACTAATCTACATTTCAAATTTATGAATGCAAAAGGATCGTTGAAGTAACACATGTATATTTGTGGTTTCATATTACAAAGATAAATAACAAAACTGCAGTTTACAGTAAGACTTAACTTTATTCAACTTGTGCAAATACAAATGAAAAATACAAGTGAAATTGTCTCAGTTAGTTGCACAAATTAGCAATCAGCACACATTTGCTGAGTATATTCTAAACAAAGAAATTTTTTACAACTACACCATTTGTACTTGGTGTACCTATTCTTGGAACAGCCACATTCATGATATCTCTGTCCATTAGCAGCTCGAATCTCTTCTGTAGTTTGACCTGTACCTTCAACTGGGAAAAGGCTCTGAATATCCTTCTAGGTAATGATGAACAATGAGAATGTCTACGCAAGGAATCATCAGCTAGATTACGACCAAAAAGTTTTAAAAACTCACTGCGCCTGGTGCTGATTAATAAATTATTTGCATGATAATATTATTTGAACATTTATAGCTGCTACATTCATCATACTGTAAAATATGACCATAGGCCATTTGTTCATTTTCCTAACGACATTGTAAGTGCTACACAACTGGTCAACAGTATCAACTTCTGATTTAGTTGCATTATAAAAGGTTACTATCTGTGGCTTGTTTCTTTCAGATGATTCATAAATTTCATCATCATGATGCATAGTGGAAAGAATCAGAAACACCTCGTTTTTCTTAGTTACATAAGACATTAGAGTTGAGTTATTCTCAAGCTTAAACAATGATGTTCCTACTTCCTGATTTTTTGTTTGCCTAAACTCAACAAAGACAGGACAACAAAGACAGACTCAACAAAGACAGGGGGAATTTCACTTCTATTCTTCCTCATGGTTCCAAACAAGGTAAGATAACATCTGCTGATTTGTTGGAAATTTCAAATGGACCTCCAGGCTGCTTGACAGCATATATTTCTAGGTTTACAGTGCAGTACATCCTAGCATCTACTAACGCAAATAATTTTATCCCATACTTATTTAGTTTGACCGCCCGGTGGCAAAGCAGCTAGCGCATCATGCACCTGCACCACAGGTTTGGGGTTCAATTGCAGGACTGGGCAAGGTTGACTCGGCCTTTCATCCCTTAAGTGGGTCAACAAAATGAGTCCCAAGTTCGTTTGAGAACTAAACACTGGGGGTCCTGTGACAAGCTGACCACTTACCCAAGGCTTATGCTGATGCACTCCGAGGCCCAAAGTTCAAGAAAGCAGAAAAGGGCCCTGCAGGCTGTGGCCCACTAGGGCTGTCGCGCCACTGAGTTTAATTTTTTTTTTGGTTTACTAGCGATGTACTACCTGTAGAAACATTTACACCTAAAAGCTTCTAACTCTCCATCAAGTGTACAACATTCTCCTACTGAATAAGCATTCTTACAATTTTCCACAAATGAAGAAAACATTTCACGTATAGGCGCTAACTTGTCAGTTTCTCTTTTATCTCTCATGTGTCCCTATTGTCGAACCTCAAATAATATAAAAGGAACCTAAATCCTTTTTCAGAAATTATTACATGGCATAGCTCAATACCCATTTTATCAGAGGACCATATCTTCTTGGTATTTGCATGATTGTCTTTTCTAGAAGTACAAATGTATAATATGCCTAGAAGCGCTTTTATTTCAATTATGGTTAAATGGGCATTCCTTTCCCGAGAATAATTTTCCTGTACTGTGGATATCTTTTTATTTGTGAAATTAACTATATTAGATAGCATGCCATTGCCAAAAAAATATGCCCAACATTGCTCTGGCATTCGAGCATTCTTTGCAACACCTTTCACCCCTGGTAAATGAGTGATAATAGCATGTCACTGACTGCATATATACTATTTAGGTGAGCAAACTTTTGACCATTTATTCTGGCCTAGGAAATAATTATTGGCAATATAATCATCACTATCGCTATCATTCTTGCTCAGTGTCTGTGTTTTCTTCTCTTGTTTCAACTCTATCTTCTTCTGTATCACTATAATCATCAAACTCATCACCTGATTCATCTTCCATAAGTATACATAGTACTATTTCTCTATCATGTTCGTTTGCCATATTGAGTTTTTTTCTGAGAAGTCATCTTGATTCTAAAGGTAAGAAAATAAGTAATAAAAACAAGTGTTACCCATAAAAATTATAAATACCAGAAGAAATACATTCTTTTTACATTTAGAATTAAATATATTCACAATTTCTTTTACCTATCACTAAAATGGAAAAAAAAAAAAAAAAAAAAAAAAAAAATGGGGGGGGGAACCACACAACTAAGGACAGCTTTGATAATAAAAATTAAAAATACTGGAATACATAAATTTTAAAATACCTTTAGAATCAAAAATGGTCGCGTGGCATCTTTTAGACTTCAGCCGTGCACATTGGCTTATAACTTCTTCATCTCAGTACTAAAAAAAAAAATGATGTTGTTTTGATGATTTCTACTTATTTGTGTTTAGTTGACAGAAAGCTTGCTCATACATTTGTTTATAAAGCAATTAAAAAAGAAACATCCCTGGTGTCTGTAGGACGCTGCACAAGCACTGCAGGGTTAACTGAAAATACATATGTTATAAAAAGGAACAAAGATTATTTACACACACAAATAAATTAGAACAAATAGTACCCTAATTAAAAAAATATGCCCAAAATATAAAATTTCTACAAATGGGTTATGAATCAGAGAACGTACCTGAAACCTATTAAAGTGTTCTAAAAAATGCCTCGGTTACTTTTGGAAATGCCAATTCATAGCTGACTGGACTTTTGTCTTCCCATCTAGGAAGCAAGGAAGACAAAAGCCCAGTTAAATCCATGAAGCACTTCACAAAGAATTAAATATTTAGCAGTTTATAAATATATTACAAACAAAATGTTCGTATATACAGTAAATCCTTGTTTTACCATAATTCAATTTATAATAATTCAGACTTGCATCAGTTTAGAAATTAAACCAAAATGAATATAATGTACCGCAATTTCTGGACGTTTGAAGTGGGCGAGTTCAACGTTGTAGAACTGAAAAAGAACTTAAAAATATGCCACAACAGAAAGGAGCCAAAAGAAGTGGTACTGTAAGGTGGACGAATCTAGACAATGACCTTGCAAACTGGATAAAGGAGCAACGAGGAAAGGGAATGGCAATTTCGACTGTAAAAATTCACTTACAAGCAAAATTTATAGCAAAACAAATGAACATATATGATTTCAAAGGAGGGCCTTGCTGGTGTAGCAGATTTATGAAAAGAAAAAATATTTTTGGGCGTATTAGAACAACAGTCGGGCAACAATTACCAATGGACTGGCAGGATAAAAAGGCATCTTTTCTAAAATATGTGACAGACATTATTGACAAAAAAAAAAAAAAAAAAAAAAAAAAAAAAAAAAAAAAACTTCTTCGGTCACAGATAATAAATATGGATGAAATGCCGTTAGCTTTCGACTCTCCTGCAAACAGAACTGTTGATGAAACTGGTGCAAAAACTGTATCTGTGCTTACAACGGGCATGAAAGAACATCATTTACATTAGCTTGTGCCGCAAACAGTGACAAGCTAAAGCCGATGATCATTTTTAAACGAAAAACTATTCCGAAGGGAGATTTTTCTAATGACATAATTATTTTTGCAAATGAGAATGGCTGGATGTGCGGAACAATCATGCATGAGTGGCTACAAAAAAGTTTGGCAGTGTCGTAAGGGATCTTTTTTTCAACCAAAAGGGTTATTGACAATGGATTCGAAGCATGCTCATTAACTTGAGTCAGTGAAAACCAGATATCAAAAATTGTCTACGACCGTAGCAATAATTCCTGGTGGTTTGACAAAAATCTTACAACTATCGTCAGGTAATAAATCCTTCAAAGCTGTAGTCTGAAGGCGGTGGAGTGTTGGATGAGTGAAGGATTACATACGTATACCAAAAGCGGTAAAATGCGTAAAGCATCTTATGAAGAAGTTGCAAAGTGGGTAGAAAGTGCGTGGAAATCGGTAAAAACATTGTCAACAATAGCAGGGTTCAAAGGAGCTGAAATTATATCCTTAGATAAAGAGACTGTAAACCAAGAGGATGAATGTGATGATCTGGAAGACTTGGACTTAGATAAGGATTTACTAAATCATTTTAATTCAGATAGTGAAGAATCAGATGTTGATGGCTTCATATGATGTAGAGTTTGCTGTAATTCCTTTTGTAAGTAAAATTTAAAATTTCCTTTTGTCATCCAAATTTAATATTTCGTTGTTGCAACATTTTTTATAATATAGTCTGAGTATTACAAATATGGACTTCTTTAGTGGATAAATATAAGTATATTCGTTAACGTAAATATATTTTCAACATTTTTTACCTTTAATTTATTTTTGGGTTATGATTTCATTTCATGCACTTTTCTTAACTGATATGTCATATATGAGGACATAGGTTGAGATGTTGCAACTATACAGCCCACGACGATATCACGCGCAATTTAATCCATTGTGGCGTTTCTGTGCAATTTTAATTTTTCCCCGCCATTTTTCTCGAGTGCAGCGTTTCTGCTGATGTGGCCTTTCTTCCGGAAATTACGGTATATTAAAATTTTACAATATGAAAAAATATCTTGAGTGTTAAACTACGACCACATTTTAATTGCTACATTATAGTCTCTAACCACTCTAAGAAAAAGTCCTTGATCCTTCCTTTTCCACAAGGCAGCCAAATCACTTCCTCTTACTGATTTCATGAAAATCCTGATACATCCTCTTCATCATCAGTTAATTCCCAACCTGACCTTTCATACAAAATTATCTTCAGCTACATAATGGTTCTATATAAACTGCAACACATCTTGGATACAGATATAAATGATAACCTATTACTTTATGCTAATTTAATAAGAAAGCAGATATTTTACAGGATTCATACACATTTCTACATATGGAAATTAAATTAATTTTTAAGTGTGGGGTTTTTCAGCACCCCACACTTAAAAAAAATTGCTGGCAATCTCCCCCTATAATCCGAAATGGTTAGGTCCATCAGTAGCTGTCTCCAAAGTCAAGTTCTATACGTCTCGAGAGGAAATGGTAAATTCCGAGCATTTATTGTGGTTTAAATAATAGTTTAGGTTGTGCTGACACCTCATGCAAGCTTTCGTGTTGCCATTTTTCAGTGTGAGCTATGGCGTGTGCAAGTTGCTCTGTTCCTCATTTGAAGTATGATCAAAGAATTAAAAGACATTAAAATTTGTAAGAGGAGGTTTCGTCAGATGAAGATTATACAGAAGAAGAATTAGAAGATTCAGATAATGAAGATGTATTTAGAGATCATCAGTCTGAATCAGAAGAAGACATTCTTTGTGATCAAATTGACTATTTCATAGGAAAAGATAAAACAAAATGGCTGAAAGAACTCTTTTGAGTTCAAAGACGCATGGTGTCCCATAATATCATAAAAAAATTGCCTGATAATACACATATATCTAAAGATGTGGCTTCTCCCATCGATGCATAGAACCTAATATTTGATGACACAATGATTAAAATGATTGTGAAATGCTCTAATATTTATGTAAAAAATATTTCGGGAAACTTTAAAAGAGAAAGAGATGCTTATAGAGGAAAACAAAAAAAAAAAAAAAGTTTCTTGCTTTTTTAGGACTTTTATACATAGCTGGAAATAAAGACAAAAGCCCAGTTAAATCAATGAAGCACTTCACAAAGAATTAAATATTTAGCAGTTTATAAATATATTACAAACAAAATGTTACTATATACAGTAAATCCCTGTTTTAACATAATTCAATTTATAGTAATTCAGACTTGCATCAGTTTAGAAATTAAACCAAAATGAATATAATGTATATTAAAATTTACAATTTGAAAATGTATCTTGAGTGTTAAACTATGACCACATTTTAACTGCTACATTATAGTCTCTAACCACTCTAAGAAATAGTTCTTGATCCTTCCTTTTCCACAAGGCAGCCAAATCACTTCCTCTTACTGATTTCATGAAAATCCTGATACATCCTCTTCATCATCAGTTAATTCTTAACCTGACCTTTCATACAACATTTTCTTCACCTACATAATGTTTCTATATAAACTGCAACACATCTTGGATACAGATATAAATGATAACCTATTACTTTATGCTAATTTAATAAGAAAGCAGATATTTTACAGGATTCATACACATTTCTACACATGGAAATTAAATTAATTTTTAAGTGTGGGGTGTTTCAGCACCCCACACTTAAAAAAAAAAAAAAAAAATTGCTGGCAATCTCCCCTTATAATCCAAAATGGTTAGGTCCACCAGTAGCTGTCTCCAAAGTTCTATATGTCTCCAGAGGAAACGGTAAATTCCAAGCATTTATTGTGGTTTAAATAATAGTAGGGTGTGCCGGCACCCCACGCAAGCTTTCGTGTTGCCATTTTTCAGTGTGAGCCATGGCGTTTGCAAATTGCTCTGTTCCTCATTTGAAGTATGATCAAGGAATTAAAAAGACTTTAAAATTTGTAAGAGGAGGTTTCGTCAGATGAAGATTGTACAGAAGAAGAATTAGAAGATTCAGATAATGAAGATATATTTAGTGATCATCAGTCTGAATCAGAAGAAGACATTCCTTGTGATCAAATTGACTACTTCATAGGAAAAGATAAAACAAAATGGCTGAAAGAACTCTTTTGAGTTCAAAGACTCATGGTGTCTCATAGTATCATAAAAAAATTGATTGATAATATACATATATCTAAAGATTTTAGGTTGACTGATGGCACAGGATTGGATATTTTTCGTAAAACAATGAACTAAAAGCGTTTTCTTTTCATTCTTCGAGCGTTACGATTCGATGATGTCGGACCATGGGATGGCATAAAAAAGACATAAATTAGCTCCAATACGAGATTTGTTTGAAAATTTTGTCAAGAATTGTCAGAAATTACATCATGTAGGGGAATGCATGACTTTAGACAAAAAGCTGGAACCTTTTCGAGGACGATGCTTCTTTAAACAGTATATGCCCAAGAAACCTGCAAGATATGGTATAAAGATACATTTGCTGTGGTTGATTCTAGAACCCCCTATCTTTCAACATGGAAATTTACTCATGTTAGCAGATGGGCCATACAAGAAAGCCAACAGTTCTTGTGAAATAGCAAAGCACATCCAACCTTCATTAGACAATTCTGGAACAAACATTACCACAGACAATTGGTATACCAGTTATGAATTGGCCAATTTCTTACAGAAAAATAAAATTTCTATTGTTGGAAAAATACATAAGGATAAGAAGATTATCCCACCTAAATTTACATCGAATAAAACTTGAGAACAGCATTCAACCCTCTTCGGGTTTCAAAAGGATATAATGCTACTTTCTTATATGGCTAAAAAGAACAACTGTGTAAACCTTTTGTCAGCTATGCATAATGATAACCATATTGATGAAAACATACGAGATTTGAAAAAATCCAAAGTAATTACGTTTTTTATAACATGATGAAAGGAGCAGTTGATATAGTCAACAAAATGGGTGGCACTTACTCTGTGGCCAGAATATCAAACCAATGGCCTATGATAATATTTTTTTGCTATTAAATATTGTCGGTATAAGTTCAAGGATCTTGCTTTAATCTACTAAAACTCCACCATAGAAGTTCAGGAATAAGAGTCACTTCTTGAAGGATTTGGCCTTGCACTTTTAGATCCTCATTTGAAATCACAACAGAAACAGAAGGAATACAATGAAGATTCTCTTGAGGACCCGCAAACAAAGAAAAGGAAATTATGTTACTGTAGATGTTACATGTGCTCAAGGGAAAAAGACAAAAAATCAAAAACCATGTGTGTGAAGTGGAATATATATATATATATATATGGAGATCATCGATGACCAATGCTGGCTTAGCGAATTACCAGCATGGTGACGTCATCCCGGCTTAGGACAGTGTGGAGCAGGCGAGACCAACAGGAGATAGCGTCCAGACGTGGAGCGAAGCAGATGCGAGCGGATGGCTTGCTTGTCCTCAAGAGTTGCAGGAGACAGACGGTCTTCTTTGGTGTTTAAGTGCCTTTGATGCTTAAGCCAAGATATCATATTCTCTAAAGCTAGCTGTGGATATTAAGAGAATAATGAATTCTATCAACGCCGGAGGAACTAATAGTGTGTGTGAACTGCTTATCATTACCTGAAACCTGCAACATTAATTTTAACTTACATTTTATTACTTTTATCTATTTCTTATTAGTAAAATAAAAGCATTTACAATGCAATATTCGTGCTCTATCTAAGTGTTTTGAAAGTAAAACCTACATATATCTATAGATATATAGATATATATGTCAAGAGCACTGTGAAATATAAGCTTCATGTATAAACTGCAAAATATTTAATTCTTCTTGAGCCTAATTGATTTGAAAATTAATTATATAACTCATTGTCCATGTAATAATTCTGCATAATTTGGATTATAATTGCATTCAAAAATAAAAAACAAAAATTTCTCATAGAAATAAGTGATTCTTTGTCATCTGAAAAAAAAGTAAGTACTTTTGATTTATTTGTTATTAATTTTTAAATTAACATTATTTTTAAGCTATTTTATATAATAAATGTTCTAATTAATATAGAATGCATTATTTTACTGAATTGTAATAATAGGTTTCATTTGTACGTCATTTAATTGCTTGGGGTGTACTAACACCCCACGCGCATTCTCGTGTTACATAATACAGCCCGCAAACTCCCGGATTAAGGACTATTAATGAAACATTTTAAGGACTTATGAGCAAATGTGAACTTAAGAAAATAAATTAAAAATATTATCCATCACTGAACTTCACTTTTGTAATATCATCCTAAAAATAAAATAGATCCATAAGTAGGATGCATTATTATTAAACAAAATTTAATAAATATAATTATTAATAAGTTTTGAAAATAAAATAAATTTTTATGAAATTTATTAAGTAGCATTAAATATTTTACACTTACAATAGTTGGACATATTTGAAAGGAGATAAGTGACATTTTATTTATGTTTTACCAACAGTTAGCTTTATGATGTTTTTTTTTTTTTTTAAAATTTTTAATGTCTCATTTTGTCGCATACTTCCTTAGTCCAGAGGTTTAGTAAATAGCAGGTAGATTTTATATCAAGCAGCATGATTCATAACAAAAGAATGGCTGTTGTCAGCACTGCTACTTGCCTAGAGAAAGACCTGCTGATCAGAACAAACCTGAAAGGCCTGATGTAGGCACGGTTGCCAAGTTTTGAAAGTTAGTTGGGTTCTGTCTGATGCAGTTAATGTCATAACTTCATGTAGAGAGGAATTGTAACTCAGTTAATATACATTAAGGTTTCAATAAGCCACTAAAGCACCAGAGGTGATAAGTTATTCTGTATTCTATTAAGTATCACTGGATGCAAAGAATAAGTTTTACATGAATATTTACATTTTTATGTTCTAACTTGTGACCACGGTAAGGATTAATGAAAGGCAATAATTCGCTTTAATATGCAGAGATAATTTTTAAGGGTAAGCAGTTAGTTATAAATAATTAAATTAGGCAATTAGATAACCTTAGTCATTATGGATTTACATGGCCACTATTAAATTTTATTTATTTTAACAATATTTGTTTACAAAAAGCCCTATTAAAATCACAAGCTAATAAAATTTCACAGTTTAAAATACATGTACTTGTAATTTATTACAGTGATTGTTAAACAATATTAGGATAATTACACATAAAAAGCTACAAAACATTTATGTTTTATAGCAACAGCACTCAACAAAATATTTATGAATCTTTTTAATTTGAAGCCTTCCCAGACATTTTGGCTAGTTTATATTGATTTCCTTCTCTTTAAGCCTCCTTTCTAACAATTAGAGATTTGTCTCAATATGCAAACCATTGGTCTCGCTGGTTTCTGCGTGCTTTATCTCCTAACTTATCAACCTCTCCACAATGTACCTATGAGAGTTTACTTGACCTGGTAAAAGTTAAATAGTCCAACCCCTTCCCTGACCGACGTGAAGCAAATTATCGCTATGTCTGAAAGTAACTACAAAGTCAGACAAAGGTTTATATAAGCCTCTTATTTAAAAACAACTTAAGCTGAAATTAAATATTTAAAAAGAAATATGGAACAGAAAGGCATGTTCTTATGCTAAGAAATTCAATTACAGCCCATGGTGATGTAAATAAACAAGAAGAGTCGAATTCAAACTAAAAATGTGGACTAGCGGTCAAAGACTATACAATTTAATTTTAATTTAAGCTGGCTCAGTAACTCTACCATCATAACAAATTCAAATGTCAGCAGCAATAAAGCAAAGTCAAATAATTACAAATTATCAGAGCTAGAAGGAACTAATGCAGCAAGCAAGCAGAGGTCAGAAACACACTCTGTCTTACATTCCAAAAACTGGCTAAGTGATTTTCATTCTGGTTCGGAAATAGTAATGCGAAATTATAGTAAAGGCTGAAATTATAAACAACTGGGTAATTTACATAATAATAACTGTACATAACTTTGAAAAATAATTTTCTTTCTCTTTATGCATTCAGTTTCTTTCTTCAACACATTTCTTTTCATTTTAGAATTTTTTGATTTTATTAAAGATTTCTGTTATTCTAAAAAAAGGAAAAGCATTTAGAATGTATAGAAAAAGCTGCTAATTTTATTCCTTTAGTAATATGAAATATTTATGGTAAGGGCCAGTTACAGAGCTGGTGTTGCAGAATTTTTAAAATTTAGTGACACACTGAGCAACAAAATCTAGAAATGGCAAAACTTTTAGAATTTACAGCAAGCACTGGAAGCAGAATTTATAAAGGCGCTAAGAAGGAGGATTTAGGATTCGCAGCGATTGTGTCAGGTGAGAAAATGCCAAGCATCAGCCCTATATATCATGCATTAAAACACATTATAGTATGAATCTTTTAAATTGTCAGATTTCAATTTCTTTACTAATATAAAAAATTCCTTTTCTATAATGACTGTCCATGTGATAAAATTAGAAGCATTTTTGATATTTTCCATGGTGTCTAGTGAAAAGCAGGCAAAATAGAAGGAAGATAAACATGTTAAAAAGATTCCAGTATCAGAAATAAAACATTCAAATATTATGTTTTCATTGTTTTTCCAGATGTTCTCCAAAAAGTAAGAAATTAATCACAAACTTTCTGTAAAATACATCCGTAACATTTTAATAGCATGGAGACATTTCATTTTGTACCATTTTTCTGGAATCTTCTAGAATCGTGGGTCTATAAATCTTGCCCTCAAATACTTCTAAACTTTCCAAGCTGCAATGTCTAAAATCCTAAAGAAAAATTACCCCTACCAATTCTGTAACATCAAAAAGCCACAAATATTTGGGGGGAAAAAAAAAAAAAAAAAAAAAAAAAAAAAAAATCAGTGGGGAAAAGTGTAAAATTAATTTTATACAGAAAACTGACGCATATTCTGAAAATTCTAAATATGTTGAGAAAATTACTATGGGAAAACTCTTAACATGAAAAAATTAAAAGAAGATATTTTTAATTAATTGTGCTATAATGCTTTATAGCGTCATACCTCATTTATTTTTCAGATTCAAAATATTGTATAATGGCAAAAATGAAACTTTATAATATGACAGGAAACATTTTTATTTTAATGTTATTTTTTAAATAGAATTTCAATATATTACCATTATTTTAATGTTATTTTTTAAATAGAATTTCAAATATTACCATTATTTAATGAAATTTTTCAATATTACAATGTTTTAAAAAAATCACCGAAAAATTCCCATTCTTGGAAAATTTTAGAATTAAAAATTTTCTATAGAAATTGATCTTAAAAATCACCAAAATGTTACAGTGGCCAAATTTAGAATCATTTAATAAAAGAATTCAAATCCCCAAAAGTGAAAAGCTGTTTAAGAGCTCTTCTTTAGAAAAAATGAAATAATTTTGAAATACTTGTTTCATTTCTTGCTCAGAAACTCGAGTTATATTAGAAATAGGAACAAATTATAACCCATGAATCCATTCAAAAGATAACCATATTCTTCCAAAATGCTAATTCACAGTCAAAATGGCAGTTGTAAAAACAGAAATTTCAGATGATTAAAATTAAAGACCTTCTTCCGATATGGGCCGAAATTAAGGACTTTTAAGTACCAAAAATCGATTCCTAAAAACCTAAGGACATTTAATGACTCTTAAGGACCGTATGAATCCTATTTTATATTAATTTTAATGATAGAAAAACTAATCTTAACATGATTTAATTAACTAAAAGTGGCACATTTTTGGACATGTCAGCCATATCA